AATATGGCGCTCCTTGATCTTCGCAATAATCTTCTCTTCGATTTCAATACCACTTTTCACTTGCTCCTAAATTAGAAGCGAAACAATATTGGAGAAATAGTTTATCGATAAACATTATAAAACGGATCAGAGCAGAAGTGGTGTAGCAGCAAATGGCGCCACTTACCACGCGACGGATGGGGGATCAAATACATACGCACGGGATCAGACCAACCAAGCCTTGCCATCCCTCTGGGGTCAGGTGATTGGTACCAGACTTGTCTGGGAGGATAAAAACACTGACTTGTACATCGGCTGACCCTTACATATTATTGTCTGGACTGAATCGCACGCAAAAGGCCACTACAACTCTGGGTGGAAGCCGAGTGCATGGCGTATGCAAGAAAAGGTTCAACAACGTTTAACGATGAAGAAGCAGCCCAACAGAAATCAAGGTAGGGGTGGCCAGTGGGGTAGGGATGAAGAAAAAATCATGAGAGAACAGCCCAGAATCCGAGAAATAGGACCATACTTCCCCGTCGATTTCCGCATTGATGCAACTTGCACCGGTGCTGCCCTTTGGAGGGCAAAAACACGAGCGCCTGGGTGTGGTCTCGCTAGAACGCTGGAGCACCTTTTCTGCGGAAGAGTACATTCCTTCTTTTCACCTCCGACCTTATTGAATTCTCATCTGAGTCATGAACGACTAGAAGTTCGTATTGCAGACCAACCACCAAAACTCCAAGCTTGCCCTCAGGTTTTGTAAAAATTTACCAAGAAAGCGAGGTTAAAGCATTCGATAGAGTTCAATCCATTCCGGCATGCGCCACGCACTCTTCCAATTAAGATGGCGGAAATTTGACGTGGCGCGTCAAATGCGGATTGGCTTATTCAATGACTTGCGGAGGTCAGACCATGTACAAGTCAGTGTTCAGAGAGTCTGGTACCAATCAACAAACCCGGGGGATTGGAATGCTAGGTGGTGCTGGCGGTGCAGGATCCAGGACTTGAATCACTAGACCTGCTATTACCCAACTTCCGCCCTCCGTAAAAATGGCTAATAAAAAAAACAAGACAAAGTTTCCATGGTGAATAACTAACCTGACTCAGGTCGATGTCCTCCGTATTATGAGCATCCACAAGCACCACATGGACTTTCCTTGTTTGCAGAATATTACCAATCACCAACTGATGCTTGTACTTCTCTAACGCTCCACGTGCTTTCGATATCAGTATTGAATCATCAGTCTCCAACTAAATAAAAAAAAACCTAATAACTCCAAACCGATCGATCGATCTGTTTGAGACGTGATGCTGCAAAACGGCAGTCACACAAAACTAGTGGACTGGATTCAATTTATTAACGAGTTTAGGTACGATTAGATTACTATTTTGCATTCATCCCTGATTTTTATTGGCTTTTATTGGCTTGTGCCATGCGTAGGTCACTGATGCATGGCCTGCGCCAATGTCCGAGCTTCTGCATTATATGATTTTCGTACTTCCTTTTGTGTATTCAAACAGCAATTTTATGGTTCACCCTATGAAACAGCAGTTCGGAAAGAAGTAAATATAAAACAAATATAAATGCGGAAACTAGGACATTCGTGCCAGCCTCGTTGCGCATCAGTGAGTCGGAAAGCCCATATGTCGAAAAATGCGCTGCCTGCGTCCTATACCTATTTTTTGATTGCCTTTCTAATTTAGTTTTGAAGTGTCAGGCAAAGAAGGAATTCGAAACCCGACTTGACCATCTTGTCGTGGTCCAATTCTCACCTTGAACGATATGATGAAGGCCTTCGGCACCAGTTTGTTGACAATTTTATCGATAGCTTTAGGTGCAAGACTGAGGCGTAGATTTAGTCCACCATCACCAGACTGTATCTTGTGTGTTGGCTAAATCAAGAACATTAATTTAATCATGCATTAATACCCTTATTCATAATTTGCTCCAAAAAATTGATATAAAAGGTATAACGAGTGACTTTATGACTGGTATCATGAGTGCTTAAGGATTTTCCGACACCAAATGGCAAAACCTAGAAAGAACTACTAGCTCACGATGTCCCGCAAGACTTTTATTCTATATAAATTGAAATGAACAAAGAAATGAGAAGAATTGGAGTAGTGGTAAGAGACGCCACTTTCCAGAGACACGTTCCGATTCGAATCTCGTCACACGCTACCCAAGCCACTGGCACCAGATCCTTTCAAAAGTACAGGGTTAAAGGAACACCCCAGCAGAAGTCGTGTCGAAGAATCTATTCAGTGGGTGGGATAGAGTAGCCCACGAGTAGCACAGATGTGCCGTTGTCGCGGCTCGAAAGTGCGCGACAATGGCGCTAGGGTCTTACAAAGTCAGCATTTGGCGACTAATCTTAGCATTTGGACGAGTTACTTAGCACACCCCATGAGGGCGCACGCATAGTCGGTCGTCCGACAGCAACGATCGCAACTGTCTGACTGTCTAACTGCATCTAATCGTCGAATACTCAGGCAAGTCCGACGATCGATACGCATCCAATGCTGTGCGACAGTTACGATCGTTGCTGTCGTCCGACCGACTATGCGTGCGCCCTGACACGCAACGTGGATTACGGCGTAGCGGCTAATTCAAATACGCGCGGGTTAGTTGAGCCGTGGAGCAGGCAAGTTCGTACAACTCGTCTGGCCCCGCCCCTTCCTTTTTCAAGGGGAATTTTTGTTTTGGGCTTCATCGACGGTTTTCTTTGCTTTTTTCATTTCTATTCATTTCAGCAACCACTACTTCATTACCAACCGCTGTGACCACACAAATTCGATCTGGGGATGTTCAAGCTTCTACGTCGGCCGTTTCAGCAACTAACGCTATTGGCCAAATCGCATTCGAATGCCGCGCGATTCCGAATGTAAGTCAAATGTGCGGCGCACCTCAAGAAAAAAAGAGTGGGCGACATCAGGGTTTGCTTTTGCTCTTTTAAACTTTGATGAGTAATTCAAGAATGGTGTAAAGACTCACAATCTGTTCTTCTTCGATGTAAAAGTCCGACACCGCCGCCGCTAAGTACAGCAATGCTCGTGCTTTTAAAGGCGCCAATTGTCGACTTATCTATAAAAAATAATGAAAATAAATAACACGGTTCCCTTGTAGTAACATTTGTGCCCGAAGTATTACAAAAAACATGAATTGACAAAAGAAAATAATTTCAAATAGAAAAGGGTGAAAAAATAAAAAATGAAAGAGAGCCAACTGTTACCTCATCTAAATAGAAGAAGTACGATTCAAGGGTCGAGAAAGGGACATACAGAATGCGATCCTTGTATTTGGCGCTGAATTCGATAGCTTCTTTAATGCGAGGCAAATCACAGACAACCTGAATAACACCTCATTGATGTTCATAACAAGTTGAGTTTGACAGCAGCAGTAATCAACAACCCGAGTCTAACCAGTTGTTTGTGCCTAGAAGCCAATCCTGCCTACAAAAATGAGTTGCTAACCACCGCACTACTTTAAACACGACGACAACGCGCGTTTTGGCTTCCTTGGCCGCATGGGACCGACGCGATTTTGCGAGCGCCGCCTCAGGCTATTCAAGTGGATTTCGAGTGGGACGCTGGCGAATCGCTGGATCCGAGCGTTGCGCCAGCGAATCGAACGTTGCACCAGCGAATCGAACTTTGCGCCAGCGAATCGACCGATGCACCAGCGAGTCGAACTATGTACCAGCGACTCAACACTTTTGGAAGTGGCGGGACCCAACGTTTAAAGGAAGTCCCGCCACTTTCAAAGAGTGTGGTCCTTTAAAGTGGACTTTCTTCAAACGTTGGGCCTTTTTCCAAACAGTGTCGACTCGCTGGTGCATCGGTCGATTCGCAAACTATGACATCGGCCTAATTGCGATCAGTGCACAGCTTAAAATGCATTTGAAACAAAGAGCTA